AATCAGGAAAAGCATTTTCCTTAGAGAAAAAAGGGGGAATCCTGCCTGTCCCTCAAGACTGTCACCCACTAAGACTCCCCAGATCCCAGCCAAAATGAATCTTTCTTCTGTAACTTCATTATTCTGCTTTTACCTTGTATGATCATATTCCTTCATATTTGACATTTGCATAGTATTTTTCTTCTATGCAGTTATAAATTCATGCCTAACAACAATAACCATACTTTCCAGGCTTCGCTTTTCAGAAAATGGCAGCTCTCTTCTCTCACTTGAACCTGATAATACTACACACAGACAGGGCAGGTCTAGTCTCCCAGGCTCTGATTTCTTGGAGGGCAGGTGCTGGGAGTCTTTATCACTGTCTCCCAATGCCAGCCACAGTGGGTGCTCACTGTGCACTTGCTGGACTGAATAGAATTCCTCTCCCCATTATAAACTTGTTTTCCAGTCAATCCTGAGAAGGACTGGATGGCAGCATAAATGCATTGGGTGATGGGATTTCATGGGTGCAGGTGAGGCCTCTTCCTCTCTCCTGAAACCGATGCCATTACCCAAGCTCAAGAGGATGAATTTTCTGGGTTAGGGTGTTCCTGCCCCAGTTAGAGTGGAAAGTGTCTCTGGGGCCATAATGCACTCCCCATCACATCACAGAACATCCTCGAAGGCTGCCGTGAGAGTCACAGACGAAGTAGAAACCAAAGCCACACAGGGAGCTGGGCATAGGGTGGGGGTGACCGTCCCAGAGACCCAGTGCACCGCTTCTCCGCCTTCTGCTTATGGCTGTGGAGCCATTACTGGTGTGGGTAAAGCACACTTGCCAAGGTGTGAAGTGTTCTGCAAGAACAAAGAGCCTGGAGTTGGGCTTCAGTCAGTAAGTGGATCTATGGGTGGGGTGGGCACGGAGGATGCAGGTACGAATCTCTCTCTCTGTTGGTCTTCTCTTTGTGACTTGTGTCTTTCTTCTCCTTAAGCGGCTGGTGAGGAGAAGAGAAGCCAGGGTCTCATTTTTCCTCCTTCACCCCTAACATACACACCTTAAAATAATCAGCAGATAGCAAAGCAGGAACCAGAGGAAAGGCAGCCTGGGGAGGTTGCAGAAGCTCCCCCAGGACCCAAACGGAGAAGCCTAGCGCCACCCTGAGGCCCAGCTCACCAGCTGAAAGGACTTTATAGAGATTTAAGGCCACTGTAAATTTGGCAAGCACAAATCTCAATTTCCAAACTAATTGAAATCTATTTTTCTTTCACTCCTCTTTGGAGCTCCCATTCTCCTGAGATTCAGGCAGAAACCCAATCTCAGTCGAGATGGCGTTACATCTGAGTTCCAGGGAACTTGCAACGCTAAGGCATTACGTGCAGGGGTCGGGGAGTAGTCTTCCGTGTTATCTGACCTCTCAACACTACTCAGGGGTCCCTCATCCACGATCTCATCACTCAGCTGCTTCTTTGCCTCTCCAGGCATGGGAGCTCTTCAAGGCTGCCTAAGGTCCAGTCTGCCTGGACTAGAGCCCCGTGAAAGCCTCGCTCTCCAAGGATTTGCTGGTCCTTCCTAGAGCTTTGGCTGGGGACACGGCACAGGGCCCTCTCTCCAGGTCCTGAGACAGCCTGGTTCCCCTCAGTGTTCTTTCCAGCCCCACTCCAGGGGACTCTGTTGTAGGTAAGGAGTTATAAGCAGGGGTGGGGAAATATTTCTTTGCTAGGGCTGCCATAACAAAGCACCACAAACCGGGTGATTTCAACAGTAGAAATTTTTGTCTCACAGTCCTGGAGACTGGAAGTCCGAGATCAAGGTGTCAGCAGGGTTGGTTCTTTCTGAGCGCTGTGAGGGAAAATCTTCCATGCCTCTTCTCTAGTTTCTGGTGGTTCACTGGCAGCCTTTGGCTTGGAGAAGCATCACCCCGACTTCTGCCTTCATCTTCACATGGCGTTCTCTCTGTGTGCACGTCTACCTCTAAATTTCCCCTTTTGTAAGCACACCAGTCATACTGGATTAGGGGCTCACCCAGCTCCAGTATGACCTCATCTTAACCAATTGTCTATTTCCAACTAAGGTCACATTCCGAGGTACTAGGGGTCAGGACTTCAACATATGAATCTAGGAGGACATATTCAGCCCATAACAGGAGGCGGGCAGTTCATGGGAAAGAGGAATGATTCTTTTCTCCACTTACTCCTGCGCCTCCTCAGTATTTGTATGGAAACAATTTGGCTGTTCCCTTGGGACATCATTCCTTTAAGGGTTTTAGGCTTTTGAAACCAACCTTCTTTTCATTCTGCTTTCTGCCCTGCCGCAGCCCTTCCCTGAGGTGTTGGATGAATGACGGCTTCATCATTTGAATCCCAGTCACTATCTATCTCAAAGATGCTGTCCTGCCACGTAAGTAAGCATTCCTTTTCCCGGGAGTGTTGAAAAGAGAGGCTAAGAGGCCAGAGGAGCTTGTGGGGGAGGATTTGGGGGTTTGGAATTCCAGTTGTGTCCTCTTTGGAGACAAGAATTGACAATGAGCAGTTGTTCCCTTAGCAAGTAAGAAAAGAGGGACAAGCTTTTTCAAAAACATTTATTTAAAAATTTTACATAATCTTTGGGTAATTCAGAATTAGCTTAGTCATGGTTCAGAAGTTTCTGAGACTGATGTCTCGACTCCAGACCAATATCAATAGCTTATCTGATTGATGGAAGGATTTCAGGACCTCATGATATAGAATGAACAGATGGCTACTGAAGAAAACAGAACACCTTAGATACAGTGGCTTTCCTACAGGACTCGGTCATAATTTTTAAATTACCTGTCACAAATATTAAACATCTTATCAGACTAATGATAATATCCACATCTTATTTGCATTCTACCAGTTTCCATGTAGAGAAAGCACAGAATGAAATTAATTTGATCCCTTAATAATAACAATTAAAAGCTAGCATCTACCCAGTGTAGTCTTAGTGTCCACACCAACATCTCTCTCCTGATGATGGAATGCCACCTTCCTCTGCACTCAGTGCTCATGATTCCAAGATTGTGAGGAATTCATGGGCCCAGAGACATGGAAAAGACTCATGTTACGCAGCAGCCAGTGGCCCGAGTGCTCTGCCCATCCCCGAGCAGATCAGCCCTAAGCTGCAGGCAGGGAGGAGGAGGGGCACGTTCTGCGCCCTCCACTCCCTCGGATGGTTTCCAGGGTGTTCTAAGCAGGGTAGGTGTAGTCTCCCAATAGGACATTAACTTCCCTCAGGACAAGGCCCCCTCTCTGGCCTTCAAAGCAGGGTCCTGCCCAGATGTGAGCACAGAGCAGGTCCTTAGTAAAGGCAGGGAGGAATCCAGCATGTACTGAGCACCTGCAATATGCCAGGTAACCCTCACAGCACCTGTGAAGCAGGCTTATCACCCATTTTACAGATGTGGAAACAGAGCCTCAGAGAGGAGAATTTGCCCATGGCGGCATAGCGAGTAATAGGGGAACATCACTTTGAAAACCCAGGGCTTCTCACTCCAGAGCTCTTTCTACTGCCTACTCAAGCCAGTGGTTTGGCAGCGAATGAGGACTCCAGCTCCAAGACAGCTGGTCTGGAGCTCAAACAAACATTTGAGGCCCTTGAGCACACAGGGCTAGCTTTGGGAGTCCAGAAGCCTGGTCCAGTCCAGTGTGGCTCCACATCGGGGGAGGGGACTTAGCACAATGGTTCAGGAAGTGTGTAGACAGACCACAGTGGGTAGACCTCTGCCTGGAGACTCTGGTGTTGCTCCCTTGCAGGGAGGGGTGGAGGGTACAGCAATCGGATACACCTGGTGAGAATCAGTCATGATCTCCAGGGTTCTGACCTCTGAGAGCTACTTCAAGTCCTAGGAAACCCCATTCCCAGTCCCTGAGAGACCTTTCACAAAAGGCCCATGAAGGTCAAAAAAAAAAAAAAAAAAAAAAAAGGGGTTATTCTACTATTAAAAACAATTCTAGTCACCATCATTAAACTGACTTCATAGCCCACTATGAATTATAACCTTTAATGTTAACGACTATAGCCAAAGAAGGTAAAAAAAAAAAAAAAAAAAAAAAAATGGGTGAGGATATTTTAAAGTGGAAAATGCTTAAAAGTAATTTTGGAGGAGGAAGAGTAAAGGGAAAAACAAGATTGCAGGAGGAGGTTTGGGGGTAGGCATCAAACAGGAAGACTTGGATATGGTGTGCACACCCAGCTGGTAGGCTAGGCTCAGACCAGGCGAGCCTGGGGAAATCAGGTTTTTGGCATCTGGCTTGCCTGGCATCTGTCAGTGGGGCTGCACTTGCTGCCTCAGACATGAGGGAGGGGGCTTCCTCAAAAAATAACTTGAACCTGTAAATTCAGGCAGATCTTAGCGAAGAAATATGGGTAATAAAGGCAGAAAGGAAAACACATCTCAGATGACTCAGACAGAATCTTCTTGACATGTTTTTCCTCTTCTAAAATCCACTCCACAGCCCCCAGCTCCATGAAGCCCTCTATGACCCACTGACACAGGAAGTGTGTGGCCCCTCCTGGTGCAAAGATAGCAGCACAGCAAGCCAACCACCCTGCAAGCCCACAGGGCACCGAGCACACTGAATCCATTCTGTCACTCACACTGAACTGTAAGCAACTTGAGGATGGAGACTGTACCTTTTTTTCTGTACTCTCATCTCCTCACATATGGAGAGGGCTGTGGGTTCATCAAGACCCTTTGCTCACCAGCACCAAGGCCAAGGGCCGCCAAACCAGTCAGAGTGATAGGAACACTGCCTCTCCCAGGGCATGGACCTTAGGAGCAGCTTAGTTCTGGAGGAACTGACTGTGTTTCCTGTGCCTTGTGACACTTACTTGCCCCTCAGAGGCACCTTGTAATGGGCACAATCATAATATGGGAGAGTTTGTTTAAAACATGAAATCAGTGTCTAGGTGTAGATTTCAAGCGTGACAGAGCACTGGTTTGCAAGAATAACATCATTCCAGTAGGGAAA